GCCAGCACCACCTCCACGGGCACCCCCACGCCACCAGTGGGGACCCCCACTGCCAGCACCACCTCCACGGGCACCCCCACGCCACCAGTGGGTACCCCAACAGCCAGCACCATCCCCACGGGCACACACACGCCACCAGTGGGCACCCCAACCGCCAGCACCACCTCCACAGGCACCCCCACGCCACCAGTGGGGACCCCAACCGCCAGCACTACCCCCACGGGCACCCCCACCGCCAGCACCGCCTCCACTGGCACCCCCACGTCACCAGTGGGGACGCCCACTGCCAGCACCATCCCCACGGGCACCCTCACGCCACCAGTGGGGACCCCCACCGCCAGCACCATCGCCACAGGCACCCCCACGCCTCCAGTGAGCACCCCAACTGCCAGCACCACCCCCACGGGCATCCCCACGCTTCCAGTGGGCACCCCCACTGCCAGCACCACCCCCAGGGAGACCCCAACGCCCTCATCCACCACCCCCTGGTCCAGCTCCCAGACCCCCCCGCCCACCCCTGGCACCTACAGCACCACCACATCAACCCAGACCCCCACACCCACCCCCACCACCTCCACGGGGACCCCCGCGATCCCAACTGGCACCCCAGAGATCAGCACTGAGTCCCCAACGACAACTTCCACCTCCACGGGAACCCAAACTCCCTCCTTCAGCACCCCAGGGCCCAGCACTGAGATGTCAACGACAACTGCCACCGCCACAGGGACCCCAACTTCCAGCACCACCACCAGGGAGACCCCAACGCCCTCAAACACCCCCCCAGAGACGAGCCCCGAGTCTACAACCTTGAGCACCAGCTCCACCTCGCCGGTGACCACCCCGCTGACCTCCACCCTCGGCACCCCGCCGCCCCCGCCCACCACCGCGCCGGCCAGCACCGGCACCCCCTCGGCCACCAGCTCCGCCACGTCGCCCCAGACCACGCCGTGCACGGATGACTGCAGCTGGACAGGCTGGCTGGACTCCGGGAAGCCCAACTTCACCAAGCCGGGAGGGGACTTCGAGTCCATCGCGGGCGCCTGCCCAGCGGGCAGCGTGGCGGCCAACATCTCCTGCAGGGCAGCCCAGTTCCCCGACACGCCCCTGCAGGAGCTGGGTCAGCGGGTGCAGTGCGACCTGTCCGTGGGGCTCGTGTGCAGGAACCAGGACCAGCGGCCAGGGGGCATCACGCCCATGCCCTTCTGCCTCAACTACGAGATCAACGTGTATTGCTGCCAGTGCACCCCCAGCACCGCCACCAC